TAAATATGTTAAAAGATGGTAAAACTTACAAATTCATCCAAGATGCTTTACAATGTTCTGCAAAAATGATTTCCAATGCCAAAAAATAGGCACAAAAAGCGGAATTGCGTGGGGGAAAATTTAAAACGTCATTGAAAACGAACCGTAAAATTATTAGATGTGCGAAGATAAATCCTTTTATGAGTTCCACAGCCATAAAAACGGAATTAAATTTACCAATATCTTCCTCGACAGTGAGAAGACGTTTGATAAAAGCCAATTTAAAAGCCAGAAGGCCCAGAAAAACTCCACTTCTAAATAAGAGACAGATTAAAAATCTAATCGCATTTGCTAAAGAGCATCAAGAATGACCATCATCGAAATGGCGTAATATTCTTTGGAGTGAAGAGACTAAAATTGTTTTATTTAATCCAGGTATTCACGAAAAGTTTGTACGAAGACCCCCACGAACAGAATATAATATAAAGTATACCACCAAGACAATAAAACATGGTGGCTGCCAGGTGATGGCATGGGGTTGTTTTTCTTGGTTTGGATTGGGCCCTATTTTTTGGATCAAAGACATCATGAATGCAACTGCTTATGTTAAAATACTGCAAGAAGTCATGTTACCATATGCAAAAGAAGACATGCCTTTGAAGTGGATCTTTATGCAGGATAATGATCCTAAACACACCTCTCGTAAAGCTAAAAATTGGTTTGTAGAGAATAAGGTTGAGGTAATGAACTGGCCAGCACAATCCCCAGACCTGAACCCGATAGAAAACCAGTGGGGGGGGGGGTTGTGTGTGTTAAAAGAGCAGTATCTTTGTCTAGACCAGCCAATATAGAGGAACTCTGGAGAGCAGTTGAAGCAGCTTGGAGAGCTATTCCCTTAGAAAGATGTCGTCATCTAATCGAGTCAATGCCACGAAGATGTAAAGCAGTATTGAAAAATAAGGGTCATGGAACTAAGTATTAGATGTATTTTCAAAAGATGAATAAATAGCTTTTCATCAATGTTATATTTTATTTACTTTTTTAATGGTAAATCTGCATTCATTAAATGTGATAAAAGTATCTTTTTTAAAAAAATGGTAGTATGATATTGTCCATTTAAGTTTAAAAGCTTTTTTTAGACTAAATAGTGTAAGATAACACTTAATTATGAAAAATTAACAATTACGGTCCGAAATTATGCATATCATTAAATTTAATAAAGTTTTTTTATAATTTTTTGTGCCACTGCTATTTTTATGCACATGACTGTATATATATATATATATATATATATACATATATATATATATATATATATATATATATATATATATATATATATATATATATATATATATATATATATATATATATATATATATATATATATATATATATATATATATATATATATATATATATATATAAACATTGTTATTAAGTCATACGATAGTATAAAGAATACTCTATTTAAAGTTCTTAATTGTTCAATAAGTCAAGGAATTTTTCCGGCCCAAATGAAGGTTGCAAAAGTAACCTCTATATATAAAATTTACAAATGTTGGGAATCATCGTCCAATTTCGGTTTCGTCAGTTTTTTCCAAAATTCTTGAAAGAATTTTATTTGATCGAATTTTTAATCATCTCTCTGAAAATAATATACTTTACAACAATCAGTACGGTTTCAAAAAAATAACTCTACAGAACACTTAGTACTTTAACTCACAAGAACTATTACTGACTCCTTCGAAAAAACACAATTTACTTCAGGTATTTTTATAGACCTATCTAAAGCTTTTGATACTATTGATCATGGCATTCTATGAAATGAATTAGAACATTACGCTATTAATGGTAAAGTCTTAATGTTATTAAAAAGTTACTTAAATAATCGTAAACAATTCATGCATATTGATACACACTCAACAACTACTGCTACTAAACCACATTGGAAATCTAAATAATAAAATCGCAAAAAGTATTGGAATTCTATATAAAACGAGAAGCATTTTAAATAAACATACTTTAATTCAACTATATTACTCGATAACTCACTGCCATATTAACTATGCTTATATTGCCTGGGTTAGTACCAACAAAATTAAGTTAAAGCCTTTGCTTTGTCAATAGAAGCATGTAGCACGTCTTAATGATTTTAAAGATCGTTTTACTCATGCCAGTCCTTTATTATTAAACATGAATATTCTTAATATTTACGAAGCAAATATATTTAACGTTCTTTGTTTTATGTTTAAATGCAAAATTAATACTTGTCCTGTTTCTTTTCATAAGTTATATTCAATGAAAAAAAAAATATATATATATTTTAAGAAATAATAAACATATCCAACAACCAATTTTTCAATAAAATATAGGCAAATCTTGCATTCAATACCGTGGAGCCTTTTTATGGAACAAAATAGTTTTAAAACATTATGATTTCTCGCATAATTGGAATTATTTTTCTTTTATAAGAAAACTAAAAGAAGTAATTTTTTCAATTGATAATATATCTTTATATTTTTAAGTTATTACCTATTCCACAAAATAATTAAGGAATTGTAATCTGAACGACAGTATTTTTTAGATTACATATTATATATTATATTTTGACATTACTATATATACTAATGAAAACTGATGTAATTTTTTGAGTTTTTGTTTGTTTTTTTGTTGGTTTGTGTTTGCATAATACTAAATATTAAGAAATATTATACATATATTCACATATATTAAAAAATATTGTTAAAACTTACTTAACATCTAAAGAGTATTATAATATATTAACGCATTTAAATATTGTTTTAAATATTTGTAAATTTTTGTATTTTGACACTGAGTATAGATTGTAAAGGGCTTTATGATAAGATCGTGTGATCTTCTGGAAGTCCTACCAGTAATATATTCATTGTAAATTTACTTTGAACATATTAATTTGGAAAAAAAAAGTAAAAAAAAAAAATATATGTATATATATATATATATGTATATATATATATATATATATATATATATATATATATATATATATATATATATATATATATATATATATATATATATATATATATATATATTGATGTATTTATTGACTGCTCCCAGTGGGCACACGACGGAAAAAAGACGTCTTATGTACGTTTAGTTTACGTCCGCTCGATTTATTCACAATATAAACTATTATAAGACGTCTTATGAACGTCTTTTTCTCGTCCGTTCCAAAAATGAGAAAATTTATTACTTTCAGTTCTGAAAAACCTTTTTATTATGTCTAATGACGTGAAATATCATTATTTAAAATATTAAAAGGTGTTTTAGTAATGGCGCCATTGTTAAAAGGTGTTTTAATAATGGCGATTCTCGTATGAGGAGGTTCCAATTACTTTTTAAATAATTGTTAGATAACATATGTGTTTTATATATATATATGTATATAGACAAATAAAATATACAAAGATTGTTTATATAGTAAAGAAAAACTATATATAACTTTATATGACATATATATGTCGTGACATGTTTTTTTTTTTACTTTATATGTCATTAAATTTTTTTTTATTTTTATATATTTTATATTATTTATGTCATATTAGATATATATAAAAATAATGAAATTTAGATTGAATAACAATTTTTTTATTTATATTACTGTATGAGTATAAAATCCTATTTTATTTACTGTCATTTATATTTTAAGTATTATAGTTTTATTTTTAAACGCAATACTTAAAATATAAATGTCAGGAAATAAAATTATAAAATTAAGATTTTATGCTCATTCAGTAATAATGTAATAAAAATCAGTCAATATATCTAAATTTTCATTATTTTTATATAAATGTAATTTTATTTTATTTGAAGTTAACAGTCAATAACCTAATCCATGTTACTATATTATAGATGCATGTAACTATATTATATATCATAATATGATATATATGACAATATGATTTATATGATATATATGAATCGATTCATATATAATATAGTAACATACATATATAATATTGTATTAAGATATAACAGTAAAAAAAATTATATGTGTACTACTAATAATAATCGAAAGTACTTTGAGTTACAGGAAAGTTCAAGTTATCTGAGGTTTGAGATATTGGGAGTTTATTGTATTCTTATGATTATTATTTTTACATTCCGTCTACATAGAATTTTGAGTTTTATGCTGAAAGTTGCACTTTTTTATATATTTTTTAAATTTTAATTTATTATACTTTTGCAACATTTAATACAAATATGTATGATAAAGCTTTATTAATATATCAATGATTTAACATTTAGTGCACAAACAAATTAAATAATACATTTATTAATGTTAGAAAATGATTGTTTTATATTTTAATGGTGAAAAAATCAAAATTTTACATGATATTTTTAGTAGAAAATTTTATAAAGATTTCTTGAAAAATAATGGCAAAATTAATAGTTTTTCGTAACTTCAAATGTTATAACTTTTCCAATTCTTATCAAAATGTATACAATTTAGTATAAAAACATAGATATGAAAAAGACAAGGCACCTACAACACCCAGTAATATGTTACGAATGTATATTTGTTAATGAAAGTTTTGTGTTTTTTATTAAAATTTTGGATTTTTATTTGCAATTTTTTATATTCTCACATACGATCATTAAATATGATAGATAAATAAGTAGAAAAGAATATAGTAATACATAGTACTCTCCTCATACGTAATACTCTCCTTAAACGTAAAGGCGAGTTTCCACGATAGGAAAGAAAAAAATATTCACGTGAGCATGCGTAACAAAAGTTTTTATTTGTCCGAAAGTAAACTGCGCATGCTCACGTGATTATTTTTCCGTTCCCTTTCCCTTTCCCGTAGAAAAACAGATGAGTGGAAACTCACCTTAAATCAAATTGTTTAAACCGGATATGATGATTAAATGTTGTATCGGCATGGTTTTATCTGTCTACTTTGCTTTTTCAATTTGGTTGCCAGCGTCAACCTAATTCTTGATTTAGAACTATGATTTTGAACTAAAACATTTCCGTGTTGAATAAAATACTACTTATTCTTAACTGTATTTTTTTTGAGGCTTCATTTATCAAATGTTGGTGGTAATTTTAGTTATGCCACTGTGAAAGCGTCGATTGTTAAGTAGTGTTTACTTTTTGTATTTTGTTTTGCTATGCAAATAATTTTTAATAATAATTACTTCATTATTAACTAATAAGTTTTGTTTTGTTAAATTATTTATTATGGTTATTGTTTATCTGTATACATTACACTATAGAGTATATGTCAATGCATGTGCAATAGCATAGGTTGTATTTTTTTATGTATTCACATAAGACATTTTCAAGCACATTGTCCAATCTGCAAACTTAATTATTTTTATCCTGATGTCGAATGACAACGTTTTGCCCTTTCCCATCCCTGAATGTGAAGGAAATGAGTTTTGTAAATAACAGTATTTTATTTAATATTAAATTAAATTTCATCAACAGGTTTGTAACTTTATTAGTATTTTAGCTTTCAAAAGTTTTGACCATATAAAGATTAGTTTCCCTCCTTGAATGAGGAGGTTGCAAAATATACATCATCATAACTTTTTTTTTTTTATGAACTCATTACTCTTATATTCAGATATAGGAGAGCAAAATTTTTTGGGTATTTTAGTTTTCAAGCACCTATGTATTACTTATAACAAATAATAGATTATAATTTATTTTTTTCATTGTCATTCTAGGCAGACATAAAAAGTTTGAAGTATGCACAAAGCCTGAAAGTGTTAAATATGGAACCTAAAAAAACCTGCCTTTGCCACTGACTGTATAAAGGTTTTTTAAGGTAAGAGCTTAAATAAATTAACAGAAAAAAAATATTATACTAAAATAGAATAAAAAAATATATTTGTAGTTTCAGTTTTTATTGTCACAAATATTAAATATTTCTGACACAGAATACAGATATTGATGTCTGTCTTCTTTAATGTCATTAAAGCTTTATCTACTGTTTTCTTTTTGTTCATGACCTAATTTCTTTTCATATCCATATTTTTTTAGGTCTGTTTGCAAGCGTCAAGTTAGGTTATCTTGCTACTGGTACCATGTAGTTCATCCTGCTTAAGCAGGTTGTACGCCATCCATACGACGTTTGGGCATCTGTTTGTAAAATATTGCTGCAAATCTTTTTGAGAGAGCCATTACTATGGAGAACCATCTAAACCATACAAGTGTGGAAACATGGATGTAAGTCTTAAACACATTTGTGATATATAATTGTATAATGTTATATGTTATAAGTTTGGAAATTATATTCTGCTAAAAAAACTTTTTAAATGTATTTTAGCAGAACATACCTGGCCCGCATTTGATCCTGAAAAACGTTCTTTTTGAACCAAATGCTGGCTGGGTAATTTAGACTTGTAAATGAACTTATATTCATAATTTTTAAACTGCTTATGACCTGATCTGATTTTATTTTTGTCATTTTTTTATTTAGATTAATGTGAAATAAACTGATGAGTTTATTTAACTTAGCTGGTAAAAAAAAGAGTTTTCGCGAAACAAATTTAATAAAGACAATTATAGGTATACCTGTTAATGTAATATATTTTGTATTGTGTTTTGCATGCTTAGTTTTGACGAATTTTTAAATACTGCAACCTCACACTCGCACAAAAATCAACTGTGAACTCTTATTTAATCAGTTGCAAAAGTTGACTTTGAAAATTTTGTATAAGATATTATAGCTTATTTATTAGACTGTGTTTTTAGAATGAAGTTTATTCATTTGCTGGCAACATTTTTAAACGTGGTCCACATCGAAAAAATTTGGTGCTAGAAATTGTCGATAGTGGAAGTGATAGATGCATTGAACCTAATTTGTAATTAATTTCTGTAAACAAGTTTCACTTTACTAATTTTTGTGTTGAATTCTTGTTTTTCTAATGGTATTTGAAATTAATAAGTCTAAAAATTAACGTATAAAAAAATACGCACCAAATAAGACCTATTTATACCTAATGTTTTTCATTATTTATAAACTGTAACTTAAACTAAACTCAATTTCTTAGTCCTATCGGGACGTCTTTTTTATGTTTCTCGTAAGGCGTCTTTTTTACGATCCTCTCAGGACGTCTTTTTCACGTTCCTTCTGGGACGTCTTTAAAACGCTCCACGCAGGACGTCTTTCTGTATTTCCAAATCCAACCACTTTAAGACGTCCAATCGGGACGTCTTAAAGACGTACTAAAGCCGTCCGCGTGCCCACTGGGCTATATCATATCTTGGTCTTTTAATTGACTGCTATCATTCAAGGGGTTTTCACAATGATGAGTTAAGCAAGAAACAAATTTGAACTAATAGTTTGCTTACAATAACTTGCCAATGCCGATAAATTTAGCCTTAAAATTAATAACCATGCATTATTCTCATTCTCTTTCAGTTACTGTTGTCAATACATTGTATTTCTTCATAAAAGTCGCATTCCAGCCTTTCTGGCACATTCTTTTATTTGTTTATTTTTGCCATTTTTTAATATCTCTTACAATTTCAATAAAGTTTATTGCTTTTTTTTATTTTTACGTAAAACATTAAAACAAACATTAAAGTGTTTCAAAAGCTGTTCAAAAAAAACTTTCATGACCAACTAATACTGCTTTATAAAGTTTTAAAGTTTAAACTATTGAGTTCAATGTACAATCGTTTCATATTTTGATTACTAAAAACAATTAAATTGAGATTTTTGCTTTAATATTTAAGTTTATTATTTGCCTCAAATTAAAATAAAAGTTGTTGAGTAGAATTAAAAATTAAAATTGAAATTAAAAAATACAAGTTTTCTAAATTTTAATTAAAAATACAAGTTTTTCTAAAATTAAAAAGTACAAGTTTTCTAAATTTCTTTCTTGATTTCTAAACATTTAATAAGAAGTTGAATCTTACCTTTTTTAATTTTACATACAAATCCATAAAGATTATCACAACTAGCATCACTCCAACCATTAGAACTTACTTCCACGCAGTTTTCTCCTCCAAAGGAATTGTCAGGTTGATCCTGCCTCCAATTAAAGAATAACGGAGTTGTATTATCAGACCAAACAAATCTTCTCTGAAGAGTATTGAGACCTTTAAAAATATTGAAAATAAGTTTCAAAAAAATTATCATTAAAGTTAAACAAACATAGTGAAGCAGTTAAAATTAGCGTACCAATCCAAAAATGCAAATCGTTCATGCTGTTATTTTTGAGATAGTTTAAAATAAATAAATTTTCTTCTTGATCTGCTACACTGAGCAAATTTCCTCCATTATTTAAACAAGATAAAAAGAATCTCTCCAACTTTTTCCAGATTGTGTGGGATTTCCAGTTTGGAAAAGATAACAATATATTCCATATTTAACCCAACCATCAGGACAAACTTGGCCATCAATCTCTAAAAAAGTTTTATAACATCACCTTTTGTAAATTTCAAACGAACAATTCAATTCAAAATAAATAAAACTACCACTTGCAAGAAAAATATTTAAATATTCCGAAAGAAACTTTTATTATAACAATACTATAACACACTTTTTGCATTTTTAAATCTTTTTTTTCCCAATGTCTATTTCTTAAATTTTTGTTATTTCCTGGTGTATTATATGTTAAAAAGCTGTTATACTTTTTAAAGTCATCATTAACCTCATTACTATATACATATTTAGTAAAATTAAGGGTGTATTTCTCTTCATAAGACAAAATTATTATTGTTATCAGGGATTTTTTAGTATATTGTATGAAAGATGCATGTTCTACAAAAATAAAAAATTTATTTGAACATATAAACGTTGGCAGATTATATGAACCACATATTAGTATGTGTAAGGTATAACGCTAAACTGTTCGAATTTTAACTTTTATTTAAACTGTGCATGATGTAACGCTAAACTATTCAAATTTCAAATATTTCTCAATCTAAAAATCCTAAGGCCGAAAAAGCAAACCTTTTACAGCAATTAATATTTTTTAATTACTCAACATGTGGAATGCAAAAAAGAAAAATTTTTACCTGGAAAAAAAAAGTTAAAGTCTGTTAAATTTTCTAATTGCGTTCAATAAGAGTTAACATAATTTTTTTTTTTTTTTTTAATTAAAATTTTTGAAAGCCTTATGTAGAAATTTGAAAGAAATTTGAAAGAAATTTTGAATTGAAAATTTAAAAAAATTAAGTCTTTTTTGTGTTAGTATTTATAAGTTATTAAGGCGTTTTTAAAAGTTTATTTATGTTACCTTGAAGTAACAAATAAACTTATAAATGTGTACCCAGGAAAAAATACCAAGATGAAAACTCAAATAACAAGTTTGATGATTTTAAAATAATAGTAAAAACCTTAGTTTACAAGTTACACGAAAAATTACCAAATAATTGTATTAAAAAAGTAAAACCCTCTACAAGTTCCATAGCCAATATATAAAAATTCAAAAAAGTAAAACCCTCTACAAGTTCCATAGCCAATATATAAAAATAAGTAGTTCTTGACAACATAAAGCAATGACGTATAACTCTAAAGAAACCCAAAATTTGATAAATACAGGTAGCACAAAACTAATTTAGACAAATTGTGTTCAACAGTTGTAATAAGTGATGTTATACTATTTTACAACATATTTACCTAATTATTGTAAGAAGCGCTATTACACTATTTTAAAACATATTTACCTAATTATAAATGTTCCATTATTTTGTAAACTTATTTACATATTTTCTAGAAGACTATTTTAATTTGTAAAAAAAATTAGAAAATAAGGGAGGTAGATTTACTCGTTCATGATTTCAGATTAATAGACAATTTAATAATAATAAAATAAGCAAGATCACAAGGTTTGAATATCTTGTATTTAAACCAGGGATGCCGTAAGTTTGGTGCAGCGACTGATTTGTAGCAGTCTTCTTTCTATTGTATCGCAGTGGAAGCTATTAAATTTCCACCACTTATTCGAAACATCAGGCGCCATAGTCTTAAGAGAAGGAGAAAACATTTTATATGAGTGCAAGAGAGTGCTAGATAACTTTAAGTATATGAACAGATGTCCAGCATTGAAGGGTGCTATTTAAGTCGGGAGTTTTCTTCAGTGATTGAGTTAAACTTACGTCAGTGTGTTTTAAGTTCCCGTTGAGTAAGTTGAGTTATATATAGGGCACAACAAAAGCAGTATTATAAAAAACAGCGACAACTAAATATAATGTAATACCGAAAGTACGAGTTACTTACAGAAAAAGTATACTATTGTTTTGCAGTGAAAGCTATTAAAGTTCCACCACTTGTATGGAACCATGAGGCCGTGATAGTCTTAAGAGATGGGAGAGATGTATTATATACGTTCAAGGGAGTGCTAGATAGATTATAATCTTTGGCTATGTGTCCCATATTGAGAGGTGGTTTTTAAGAGAGGAGTATTATTCAGTGAATAAGTTAGAGTTAAGAGAAAGTTGTATATATATACTTGTATATCTTTATATATCTAAAAGGGTGGCCAAAGTTTTTTTCCATTTTTTATTGCTTTTAAATAAAATGTATATAGTTAGGCTGGCACTTTCCGAGTTTTGGAGAGGCCAGGGCAAGTTATGAATCGGAGGTCCTAAAAGAAAGATTTGCGAAAAATTTGCGCAAAACGCGATGCAAGTTAATGCTAAACCATTTAAGTCTTCAAATAGTATGGAACCAGATAAATGTGTAACTTTCAGAATAAATATAATTAATTAGACGGACAGTTACTCACAGATGTGGCGCTTTTTGTACGTTTTATCAAGCCAGATAGGCAAAAAAATGCGCTAGTCTATTAACTACACATTTTTTAGGGAGGTCTGGGTACTGGAAAAAAACGACCGTACGATTAAACTGTTAAGGTCCTTTGATGTTAAACTGTTAAGGTCCTTTTCCAAAAGACGAAAAATTTGTGCAAAGCAAATTTTTTTTTTCGTCGTTAGGCATGCGCAAATTAAACATTTTTGGCGATTTTACTGATTTTTTTTCGCTGCAGCGAAAAAAAAAGTCGGATTCATTTCGACTTTTTGGGAATCGTCAGAAGCAAAAACCAATCAAGTTTTAAATATTATATCACGTGATGTCAACATAAAAAAAAAAGCAAAAACATGTTGTTTTAAAGTAAAATTCTCAACCTGCCGTTCTTATTAATTTTATATGAACTTACTCTGAAAATTGGCAAGCATGAGTAAATTCATGAAACAAGGGGCGAGACTTACATAAAAAAATGACCAGATTTATATATAAAACTAATTCAAGAATTTACAAATATAAGTTTCCACACTGTCAATTACGAAAGTTTCACTTCATATGAATATTTATTTTCAAGTGGCCACACGAAGATAAACCTATTTGTGAAAAACTCTACATAGAGTGAAACCTGCTGTTCGTTTTTGTAGTAACATTTTTTTAATCGAAATGTTTATATCAAAGTTTAGCATTTATTTTCTTATACTTTCCTGTAAAAAAAAACCTTATATTGAATGATTATATTTCAAAATAATATCATATCTTACATATAAACGCAGAAATGTTAATATTAATGCATGGAAAGATATTTTCACATGCCTCAAAGTAGAAAGTATGCTAAAAAAGTAATAACTGCTTTTAGTTAAACATACAACGTAAACTTATTGCTGCCATTTTTATTGTTGACAACGAAAAAAAAGTAGCGCGAAAGAAAGTAAGTGGAAATTAAAACAGCGTTTCGTCATAGCGAAAAAATTCGCTTCGCGCGAATATTTCGTCTTGTGGAAAATGGCCTTTACTAAATTATGTGTTACAATTCAGATTTCACAAATGTATGATTAATACATATATAATTATTCATTGATTTTTGTTTATTGTTTTTTTTTTTGATAGGTAATTATTAGCAAATCACTATAAATGAATAGTTAAATTAAGGACACATTTTGAAAATGAAATTTAAATAAATTTACTTAATTTAATTAAAACAGAATGATTTAGTCTTATTTAACTTTCACAAAAGTCTTTCTTGCTTTTTGTTCTGAAAATGCAGCAATTATATTTTTTAGTTTATTTTTATATTAAGCCAGTTTTCGTGTAATATCGCATTTTATATTCAGCACAGCAAGTCTATTCAACTGTTCCTGCCCCATAGTTAAACGATGATAATTTTTTATCTGCTTTAATACACTTAATGTGCTTTCGCCCAAAGCCATCGATGCAGGCAAGTTGATAAAAATGTGTAATGCAATTGTAATGCTTGGAAGTACACCTGATAGACCAAGTCCGTGAATTTCCCCAGTCTAGTGTGCAGTCTTGTATAAAAATAACACCATACTAGTGTGCAGTCTAGTATAAAAATAACACCATACATTCTTTTAAGAAATAAAACCTTATTTTTAAGTTCTTTTAAGATATCTTTGTCGTATTTATGCTAAAAATGTTGAGCAGCCAGTACAAGATCTCTGTCATTCAAATTTTTAAACTGTCATAAAAATCCAAAAAATTTATAAATTTCTTGTAACGATTGAAATGGTCGAGTGAGGCCAGATTCAATCGAGTCAATGATGAAAAAATATACATTGATTTTAAAATACAGCTCGGTATTATCTTGACTTGTAAATGTCGATTAGTTAATAACTCACATGAAACATCAATATTTCTTGCAACAAATTTTGACTCAGTTAAAATCTTATCAAATTGTTCATTACGTAGATTTTCATCTTATCAAATTTCATTACGTAGATTTTCAATATTAATCTTTATAATATCAAGAGTAGTATGTGTCATGATTACTAGATTTGTCTGATGAACAATCGTGAGTACCTTCATCCAGATGGACAACATCAAAATGCAATCAAATTAGGAAATATAATTTTAAATAGCATTGAGTTCCATTTTAGCCTAAACTGTTAAATGTAGTACCCCAATTTCATTTAAAGCTCTTCTTACTGAATTCAAATGTTGTGCAACTAGTTTAACACCATTAATCCGTGCTGACTATCTTGTTTATGACATTCCGAGGAACAAAACAGGAGTATGTTGTTTTAAAATTTTCCACCTTAGAGGACTGCTACTCAATAAATAGTACATTTGATGAATTGTGCCAAAATATGATACTGCTTCTTTGCATAATTCAGCACAATCAACACCAACTAAAATTAGTATGTGATTCCCGCAGCAAGAAAATATACAGCTTGGATTTTTTTCTTTCAAAACCGCTTGCACCCCGCTATACTTTCCAGCCATATTTGCACCGTTGTTTTGAGAATGATCATTGCAGGCTTTGA